ACTTAACTTCCGATTAAGCTTGGAGTAGGATAGACATTAGGAATGTAATCCATGCACAATAACAAGTAGGTTAGTCCCTTTTAACCTCAACCTTAGGTCCATCTTTTGCATGCTAACATTAGGATAGAACTTCCTTTTGCATCCCGACCTTAGGACCACTTTGCATGACAATGTTAGGACCGAGTTTCCCTTAGACCTTTCATGCGTCTTTCTCTCTTCTCATCTCAAAATAATTCTAACACACTTAATAAAGATGATGAACATTATGCGCCACGAGCCTTAAGCATATGGGAAATGATGGATGAGGGTCTCCTCTCGTTCGTCTAAAGTGTTTAGCGTACGTCCCGTCTGGGGGCGATATGCGATGCATTCGTTCCTATATCATAGTCTTTAGTGCAACGTGAATCACAAAACAAAGTTAATTCACTTCTTTTAAGGCGTTTCAGATCTAGAATCTTTTCTCTCGCCCCCGTGCGATCAAGATCCCGTTATCCCGTAGTAATGTGAACTACAGAAGCTCTGATTACTTATTCCCTAATGAGGATTTATAGTGGTTTGGAATGTTCATCCTCGCTTTCTGCTTAATTCCCCCTCTAATGGTTGCACATTAAAATTTTGTTGATCTTCCAATATGATCTGCAAAAGTATTACAAGAGTTCGTATGATAATAGTCCACAAATAAAATGTTGAAAATAAAATTTTGTATATTCTTGATCTTGAGTTGTACATAACTCCACGAACTAAACTTTATGAAAAATCTTTACTTAAAGAAAGACCCATTTTTCTGTGATTTGACTCATAACTAAGGCATAATTCGACCCAGAAAGGTCATGATTCGAGTCAGGGCTTGGTCATGATTTGACTTAAACTAGACAGTGGTTGAACAAGGATTTGTGATTCGACTCGAGCATATATTGTGAATCGACTCACAGTTGCATGATTCAAATCGTAAGCTAGTTGTGATTCGACTGACAAGCTTCAACCAAAATCATGTTCCTCTCTGCCTTGTTTGATCCGGCTAAGGGATGTATGTGATTCAAAACCTCAAAAATCCAAGTTTTCAGCTATGTTTTGAGATTCTACCTTTAACCTGACTTTAATCAATCTCAATTATGGTTCTTGTTCAACAAAACTCGACTAATTGACCTAAATCATAATGTTCAAACTCAAATACGCTCTCCGACATTATTTATAAGCAAAAGTTTTTTTAATTTTTTGGTCTTAAATATAAGCAAATGTCAACAAATCTAGGGATATTTAATGTCTTTAGTTGTTTCAAAACTATCTTTGCATTAATTATTAATGTTGTTATTGGGTGACAATTTAATTAAGGATGTATTAATAATTGTATTATCTCTTTTATATGAAATCAGGAAAATTAAATCAGCGTGAAAATTAAGGATGTATTAATAATTGTATTATCTCTTAATAAGCGTGAAAATTTTCTCTTTTGCTTATAAATCAGACCGGAGTAGTACAAACACTTTGAATTATACATGCTAAAATACATATTCAAAACTCGATCCTAAAAGATATGCGATTGAAGAGAAGACTCTAATGTAAACTAAATTCAAAGTAAAGCTTAAAAGACAAGCAACAAAATCATATGGAATACTTCCCCTTAATATATCAGAGACATGCAACTTCACAATGATATAACGAAAGTCGTAAAGCGCGGAGAACACTTAGACCTCTTTTCCCTTGGAGCAATTGCCACCCACCGAAGTTCTACTGATTTTCAATATCAATTTGATGGTTAGCGTGATCCACGCCTCACTCCCCGTTTTTTGTTATTAACTACTCCTATAATTTAAGAGAAAAAAATGTGTCATTTCTCAAATATTCAAATTCATTCTCATTCTCGTACAAAAATAATGAAGTATATGTTATACAACTAACAATATTTCCATACCTTACATATTTAAGGTTGAAATTCAATAGAATAGATTAATTTGTCTAACAAATTTATATTTAAAGAACTAAATAACAACTTTATTAAATGAAAAGTTAACATAAAACAAATTAAAAAAATCAAGTCTATTTTTTTTCACCGCCAGTATATATACTAGATCGATTAATCTGATTTGAATGTCAATTATAACATTAAGTGATTTTAGTCCCCTCCCGATCACAGTTACAAAAAAATGCACAATGGTCCTCCATATCAAATTTAGTTTCAATCGGTGTTTTAAAATCGGACCGAATCGGCTAGTCGGACCGGTCGAATCGGGAATTGAAAAGGTCACTGATCTGGTCTGATTGCTAGATCGGAGTGCTATTAAACCAGTGGGAACCGGTCAAAACCGCCAAAAACTGGTGGTTTAAATGCGTGTCTTTTTTTTCTTCATAATAACGATGCCGTTTTGATAAATAAAAAATTAAAATATAAATAGACTATATTCAAAACTTATTTGGAACAATTTTTCTTCATTTGTAATCGGATATTGTTTAAAACTTATTTGGATTTATATTTTGTACTATTTTATCGTATTTTATACTATTTTATCGTGCGTGACGACTATGTTAAGAGTTTGAATTTAAATAATGAACTTGTGAAATTATGATATTTTGAAATTTTGTAGATGTCGTGATATTTTTTAGAGACCAAGTCATCTAATTCAACTGATTTATTAAATACTGTATATAATTTTTTATAGAAACCAGTTTATTCAGCCGAGTTATCTAGTTTAGTCATGCAATTCGACCAATAACATAGTGGCTCGACCATTAAACCAACGATTCAATACCTTCACCAGTTTGATGACCGATTCGGTTTCTAACCTATTGATACTCACAGTCTAATTTAACCTATAATATTATTATATATATACATATAAAATTGTATCAAAGTTAACATATATTATTTATTGTTTAACTAATTTATTAATTTCCACCGGTTTTGTTGTCTAATCCAACAACACACATTTACAAGTACAGAATTGTTTTTTCTCAAAAAGAAAACCCTTGAATATTTGGTGTCTTCTTCTGAGAGGTAGTAAAACGCCAAACACTGAAAACCTATAGAATACTATAAGGAAACAGTGAGTGATTTCAAGAGGCGCCGTCAACCAATTACAAGCAAAGCTTGAGTGTCACAACACAAACACAACAACACATCAAAACAAACCTGTTTCCCTTTCCTAAATCTTATACTATAATCCTGTTTCTTAGTATTATAATACTATGTAACCTTAACCATAACATATAATAATATTATTATATACAATGCCACCAAAATCATCGTACAATATGTCTTCTCAACACCATGCCATGTCAAAGACTAGACCATCAACCAACTCTAACACTTTGCACCAATCACAACTAGACAACGTTTGGTACTGAAACGTTTTCGACCAATCACAACTAGACAACGTTGTACCTTTCTAATCCTAGTTTCTTAGTCGTTTTATCTCTTCCATTCGTTTCAAAGTTATTCTCACTTTATTGTCCTATACTATGAGATGAGTGACCACTATCTTCTCTCTCTCTCTCTCTAAATATCATCTCAACACAACACCTATGTATATAGATTTTTTTCTTTTCCGTTTTTCATTAATGATGAGGAAAATTTTGTTACAGCTCACACACTCTGTAATACAGAACAGGAATTCTAAGGATAGTAAAAGAGTTAGAGATTTTTAATATATAATATATTGAAGGTTAAATGTGAAAAAAATGTATGTAATTAAATATATATTTTATTTATAAAATTATGATAAATATGAATTAAAATATATAATGATTGGCTTTTAAATTAGTCTCTCATATTTAATTGTAAATTTTTTTAAGTAAATGCAAAAAAATTTTGAATAAATTATATGAATTAAAAAATATTATTATATTTAATTTTATTTAATTTTTTAATGATTAATATTTTTATTAGATAACGGTCACGGTCGCATATTTTTTTTTACAATTTTGATTGATACAATATTGTAAAATTTATTGCAGTTGTCGCAATGTAAATTAACCATAATTTACTTTTTACTATAAAAATGATGAATAACAGTATCGATATCAATATCGACATTATTTAATACCATTTCTTCGTAGTCGTTTTTGTGATAACTGACCGTTTAAAATCCCGATATTTATTATTAGTTATAAAAAAATAGTAAAATAATTAGAACTAGAGTATTTGGTGAATAAATGATTAATATAATTTGAATTTTTAAAGAAAAATTATTTAAAAGAGGGATTTTTTTTCCAAAAGAAACATATATTAAGTATCCCATGGAGTAAATTGTCTCTAAACTATTTTCAATTCATATGAATAAAAAAGAGAATCATACTTAAGAATTCACTTGATAGATTTTCATGGATTATTCATTACTCTTTATTTAAATCATTTTATTCACATTTTATTTATTTTCATTCAATGAAATAAAATATTATTTTAACTATTTATTTCAAATAAATATTTTAATAAATTTATCCTTCACTCATATTAATTTACTTACTATTTTATTGTTTTTTAATATTAAGTAACTGATTATCCAAATAATAATTATATAAAACTCTATTTTTTTATAAAAATAAAAAATAGTAAGAAATAATTATTTGAAAAATATCAATAAAAATATAAATCAAACTTGAGACTCAAAACTATACAATATATGAATTTTTTGAGATATGCCGACCTAATAATAATTTAATATACCTATATACTAAATTTGAATACTAGTAAAAATAGAAAGGTCTCCACCCTATACACTATTAATTATACACCATTCAATATTTCATCTCAAACTCTTGAATTTCCTTCAGGTGAACAATACTATATACTCTCTATCTACTCTTTCTAGGGTTTCCTTCTTTATCCATTTTTCTTTATATGTAACCCCTTGTCTTACTTTTTTTAGCCTATCTCTCTCTCTCTCTCTTTGTTTATAACTTCAATTTGATTATTCCTTCTTTCTCATTCATCAGAAACTAGAACAACAATTTTTTCAAGCTAGGTTAAAAAAAAATTGTTCATCTTCGTCTTCATCGTCGTCGTCATGGGAAGAGGTAGGGTTCAACTGAAACGGATCGAGAACAAAACAAGTCAACAAGTAACATTCTTCAAAAGAAGAACTGGACTTCTCAAGAAAGCTAATGAAATTTCTGTTCTTTGTGATGCTCAAGTCGCTTTGATTATGTTCTCTACCAAAGGAAAACTCTTCGAGTATTCCTCGGCGCCAAGGTTAGTATCATCGAATCGAATGGCAATTTCAATATATTTATAGTTATCAATTTATATACATGTGTTTTAGAAGAATTTTAATGGTGTAATTGAGGTGCAAGAATTTATATATTTATATATAATTTTGATTGTTTTGGATCCATTTTTTTTATAAAGCATATAAATTTTAATTAATATAGATAAATATTTTTTTTTGTTTAAGATCATTGTTGTTTTTATGATCTTAGGTTTTTTTTACCTAACTGAAAATTTAAATTTGGCAAGTATAGTATAGTGATGAATGATGATGAGTACTTGAAGTTGCTGTTTGATTGTACTTTTCTTCTCTATTTTAGGGTCTGGTCACATAATCGTGTATTACAATCCAACCCTTTTTTCTTCTATCAAAAGCCATACTTCTGGAAGATATCTTTGTTACTTTTGTACAATTTTTGTTATTCATAGATATGACAATGCATATTCTTTAACTTCACTGTAATATATAGTGTCAAATTCAGTTCATGATGTGTGAATACGTGTCTCTTGTTGAAGAGAAACAGTTTTTTTTTTCTATTTTAATACTGAAGTTCTCATAAATATATAATAATAATAATAATATAACTAATTCATGCATTGTGTTTATATATGGATGATGAAGTTCATAGATCAACTAGTTTGAAGTTAAATGATTCAAATTTAAAGAGTGTCATACTAATATACAATTAATATACTAACATTTTTAAAAGACAAAGTTGAAGATATAATTCAAAAGTTTTTGATAAAATAAAACCCTATCTTGATCTTGGTTTCCTAACTACCAAATATAAATTTTATTTATATATTATAAACATTAGAAAGTTTAATAGAAATACCTTGTATAAATAATTAAATTGCATGCAAAATGGCTAACACTAATGTATTTTTCCTTTTTCAAAAAGAAAGTAACTATTATTTATTTTTCTTAATAATAGAAACTATTCACTTTGGTTTTTTTTTATATAAATGTATGGAAGTAATCAAATATTTAGAAAATATTTTTATAATAACCTAGATGATACACCACCGTGAGTAAGAATCTATTTATAACCTAAGTAAAGCTATGACCTAACCAAGGACTATACATATATACAAAAAATATATTCCTAAGTTTATATATTTATTTATATATTTAAGTAATAAATAAAAAAAACTGTTGGAAAGACAATGTGGTGCATTAAATAATATTTTCCTAAATTGTAGTATATAGTACAAAAGTGGTATAGTCAGAGGAAAAGCTTTCAGGATTCCTGGTTCTTATAGAAAAAGAAGAAACATAACATAGACATGTGGATTAAGAGGTTTTTTGTTTCAACAAAAATGTCATATTCTATGATATAATATTCATTGTTTTGTAAAACTAGGTAAATTAATAAACTTGCATTTATTCAAGTTGGATGATAATAAGAATAAGTTCTTTATAGATAATTTTAATAGCATAAGTTCTTGGCAAAAATCTTTTAATCTATTATATATATTCGGATTACAATAAATCGCTTACACTTTTTATCTATTAGATTATCTCTAGCCAGCATGAATTATTATTTAATTTTCTTATAAATTTTACATGTAGAATATGCATGTTTTTACATGTAAAATATTTTTCTGAATGCATGTAATATATTATTTTTAGTTTTTTGATAGTTTTTTATTTTGAATTGTATGGAACAGCATGGAAGATATTTTGGAAAAATATGAGAGACAAAATCATACAGAACTTACTGGAGCTGCTGCTACCAATGAAACACAAGTAAAGTATTTCATTGAAATATTGCATAGAGAAACAATATATTTATGAACATGAAAGTTAATTATTATTTATAGTGATTGAGATTATTTTATTATAGGGAAATTGGACTTTTGAATACATGAAGTTAACTGCTAAAGTTCAAGTCTTGGAGAGGAACTTAAGGTACTTTTTTAGGGTTTATTATAGTAATAATATTAATCACTTTTAGATTTTGAAATGTTCTAAAACTACTTCATATCATGGACACATGCACGGCGCGCGCATGTATTTGAACTCTCTACCGTATCATGCAACAGAATGCAGAACCGTTAAATTTTAATACGGTTGGTTTTGAATTCAAATTTAACGGTCTTGTAGTCTGTTACACTATATATACCTTATACCATGTTTAATATAGGAATTTTGTGGGACATGATCTGGATCCTTTGAGTGTGAAAGAGCTTCAGAGTTTGGAGCAACAGCTCGACGCATCGCTAAAGCGCATCCGAACAAGAAAGGTGAAGAATGCTTATTTATTCATTCACAAGAAATATAAGAAGATGAAACTAAAAGAATAGAATAAGCATTATTACATGTAATATTAATAATATTTGGTTTTTCAGCTTATCTTCACAATTAAGTGATTAATATGATTTTATGCAGAACCAAGTTATGAATCAGTCCATCTCAGAGCTGCATAAAAGGGCAAGAGCATTGCAGGAACAAAACAGCAAGCTAGCAAAGGTAGAAGCTAGCTAGCTACATTCTTCTATTAACATTTGTCCATGACCTAAACCTTAAGAAGAATGGATGCTATAAAAAAAAGTACTAATGTTTTTTATGTTTTTTTATGGTTAGACAAAGGAGAAAGAGAAGATAGTGAATGAACTTCCACCACAGAGATGCCTTGAAACCATAGGCACAGGGCAATGTTCATCCACCCTCAACTTAGGTTTTCAACCACAGATTCTACCACCTCAACGATTGGTTCCTTCTCTAACTCTCAGGTATTTCTTCTCTCTGAAACTCTCAGGTATTTCTTATCTCGGAAACAGCAGATACGACACTGACATGTATATATACATAAATGTATGCAAATGAAGCCCTACACTAGACACGACCCTGACATATATATACATAAATGTATGAATATGAAGAAATGATATATTGGACACGACACACGAGTATGACAAATATATACATAAATGTATGGATACGAAGCACTGATACACCAAACAACACCAACATGCATGTGTCAATAAACTTAAGAAAAAAATAAAAATGATAAAATATAACATGTGTGCGTGACGTGTCAGACATCAGACACATTTTGAATCTGAAAAAGTCGATGCTTAGTAAGTACTAGTATACATATATATGATGCTTAGTAAGTATATATGTGTGAAAAATGATGGATGGATGGATGAATGAATGCAGTGGGGCTATACAAGCAAGAGGGTCATTGGAATTTGAAGAAACGGGTGAAGCTCAAACTGTTCCAATCAGCAATAATAATAGTCTTATTCCAGCATGGATGCTACAACATCTTGCTAACTAGATTGATATGTATGTCTGTGACAGACATATATATATTTATTATATGAAATATGTATGATTAATGTGTAAGTGTAAGTAAGCCTTATTAAGGTATCAACTATATCAGAATTTCATATTCTGTTCAAACTTCATATTTCAAATCAATGAGAATGCAGTCTTTGATATAAGATAAATGTTGATTTAAGCAGTTTCTTTTTTTTAGAATGTGTGCCATTAATATATTTTTCCAATTTGAGAATCTCTTATTTGGTTTTAAAAGTTCTCTCTCAATTGTCCAGCTAACTTGAGCTCAAACTTCATCCTTTTTTAGTGTGCAGTTCTAGTTCTTCTGGAATTGACTAATGTGTCTTATTTTGTTATGCTCTTGTAGTTTTTTATCCTTTTTGTATGGTTGGTTTCTTTGTTGTACTTTTTGTTACTTCTTATGTCAATCTTTTGCTACTTTGTACTTGGTTTAGACTTTTTACCATAATTTATTAATATTATTATTATTCTTTAAAAAAAAAACATTTCTGCCAAGAAATAATTGTACTTAATGAAATAAATAAGCACTTGTTGAATCAACATTGCTTTAAATAATAATTGTACTCCAAAACAGTGATAAGTAGTGATCACCATCCATAAGATGATAACATTTCCAGTAACAAGAATTGTGAATATGAAATGAAGATTGAGGATTTGGAACATAAAAAGTAGGACACTCCTCTTACATGAGTCAATGATCTCTTTATTCAATAGATAACAAATTCTTTTTCTATGTACAGACATTTCTCTAAAATACATTATTTGGTACTAACCTTCTAAGTAAATGAACACTATATACACTGCAGGACTAATTCTGTTTAAATAACACAGTTCCATGAATGAATACAAGAATTACATGCATTTCATGATTGATTCTAACTATTAATGTTGTTAGATTTTACTGTTCTTTTCGCCGTCTTGTCCATTAGCACCACCGGCAAGCATGTACTCTCTGCAATCAGGTTTTTTGTACAACATTACATATGATTCATTGAGAATATACATCAAATCAAAAAACAAAATAAAACAAAACACACAATAGGGGGAAAATAATATTATAATAACGCTGTCGATAAGTTTCAATCAAATTGACAGTGAAAAAGTGTTCGCAAATATGTAGGGGTGACTTGTTTTCTACAGTCACTAGCCGAGTTTTGAGCTAATGTTTTCGTATAAAAGGGAAACAAAGTCAACTAAGTCGAAAATGTATTATTTATGCTCTTGCGTAAAATACCTGAGTCTTCCACAAAGGCGAGCTAAAGCATCGGAACCAGTTCTATATGCAATATCCTCAACTTTAGCAGCATTAGATAAGGTCATGCTATCCGCAAGTACAAACTCACACAACTCCTTTAATGAATAAGCATCAGTCAACACAGCTGAATGGCCTCCACCAGCAGCTAGTTTTCGAACCTCCCCAACACACCTGTGATTTTGAAACTTTTAAGATTTTGAAACTTTTAACATAAACCCTAGGCAATCATGAAGAAGTTACTTCAACTAGAAACACATACCAGTCAACAGGTGACGGATACCAAGCATATGTAGATTTCTCGTTGGCTGCCTGACCGTAACTATTGTAACCCCATCCATGTATTCGACCATCTTTCATACAGATAAGTGTGTGAGAATGTCCACATGCAACAAGTTGAACGCTTTTTGGAACAACTAGAACTGGAATGTTACGGAAAAATGTCCGAGAGTCATTGACGACACACGAGAATAATCCTGTGTCGGGGCCAAGGCCTAACTGTCCAGATTGACCTCCACCCCAAGCGTAAAGTGCTCCTTCCTGAGTTAAAGCACATGTATGTACACCGCCGCATGAGACGTCTTTTATGAGAATACTGTCAAGGGAAACCACCCTCCTTGGAAGTAACTCTTTATCACCATACTGAAGTGAAGAATGTCCAAGCTGGCCCATACTTCCTAGTCCCCATGTGTAACTGCAAGGCCCGGGGACAAATATAAAAAAGTGATGAACCATTATCACAAGCTAAAACCCATAACTAATCATTTTAATATGGCTTATGGATGTGCCTATCTTTGAAAATACTACTTAGCAGTTAACAAAACCATAATTATGTGAATATAATAATAAAACTTATTATAGACATTTTTAAACACACATAAAACAAAAAACGCTTGAAATAAAATGTGACACGGTTGGCTCCTGGAGTATATAACTATAGTTTTATATGTTATAACCAAGCCAAGGGTCAAGGGAATAGAAACTTGCATAATAGATGCAGCATTTCCATTGTATTGTCTCTGACGTGAGATTCCCTAACGTGTCATGCGGAAAACCACATTTCTCAAGCTTAAACTTTAAAAATCTCCATCTAGAGAGTCCTTCATATCACTTACACCTCTCCCTCATCTGAAATGGCTGCTGTGTGGTACTCCCCACATGACACACTGGTAATCTTCACAGGCTCGGGGGCTTCGTCAAGGAATTTAGCATAAGAACTTATAATGCGAGCTCTTTGTAGTCCTTCACAGGTAACACCTCGGCCAAGTTGACCATACTCATTGTAGCCTGGTTTACGAAAACAATAAGACAGCCCTGATAAGTAGGTCACAAGAAACCTTCTTTTGAAAATGATTAAGTTTACTTTACTAGATTCAATGCTCTGTAAACTATCCAACTCAACTCCATAAGGCCAAACATAAACATAAAATCTACAAATCATGTATAAATAATGCTACCTCATCCTTATTGATAAGAACCTTAGGCTCTTTTCACATACATTAAGAAATGTTTGTGGTCTAACTAATGTGAATATGTTGCATATGATATGATTATTACTAGATAAATATTCTTGTGTACAATGTTGATTTTTCATCTTCTAAGACAAATTAGTAATATTAATTAGGGGTGTATTGGAAAAAATATATATGAACTTATCTAGTAATTAACATTGAAGTTGTATTTAGGGACACAGTTTTTTCCCCAAAAAAAGTGCTTTTAATAGTCACTGAATTACCCCAAGCTTGTAGTAGGCCTTCCTCAGACAAAGCAACCGCGTGAACAGCTCCACAAGACACTTGCTTAATGATCTGTAAGTAATTATATGAATGATGGCAAAATGGAAAATGAGAAAGGTTAAAAACAAGAAATCAGGCAAAAGGAAATTTAATGAAATAATTACATTCACAAAAGCAATTGCATGAAACAGCAGCAATTATTGTCACTTTTGGGCCTTCTTACTAATTAGACCTAAGAAATAGATTTTCGCAGTAGAAAAAAGATATTCCAACTGTTGAACATATTACATTAAGTACGGGAGCCAAGTATAAACTACTTAATAATGTTCTAAAGCACCCAAAATTATAGTATGGTACAGTAATAAATCACGAGTATTGAATATGCAAGAAAAAAAAAGGCATCTAGCATCTATGTGCAACCAACAATCAAATATGACAGCAACATTGACATTAGGAGAAAAGGGAAAATGATAAGACAGTGCTTGGAAAGAGTCCATTCAAAATAACCGTCTCATGTTCATCTCTCTCTACAAATTCAACTATAAAATAAATAGTGGCCAATGGATACTGTGATCTCTATTTATATAGAACCAAGGCAAGTAGTTAAATAATCAGCTCAAAAAAACAAAAGGATGCATTATTTCTTTGAGTCATAATGGACGTGTACATGGGAGTACATGTTTATAGGTGTATATGCTGAAACATATATACTTACTGTGTTAGATTTGAAGGCTCCCCAAAACAATCTTGGAAGATTTGATCCCTGGAATATAAAAAATAAGTTGAAAAAGCATATGATATATTATGAACACTATATTAACCCTCAAGAAGCTTATACCTGATTTTGCCCCCACACCCAAAGCCTTCCAGTCGAGATGGAACCATCATTTGCACGAGGTTCTGCAATGCAAGCAGAACAATGTGCACCACAAGATACAGATTTTACAAACTCTGACTCCAATTGTTTGACTTTCTTTGGATGTTCCCTTCGCTCCTCTGTTCCATCACCCAGTTGACCAAACTCATTAGCCCCTGAGATATGGGATATATGCATTTAGCCTTTGACAAGTGGCACTTTTATATTTATTATCTATTTGAAATATAAACTATTAACAATAGCAAAGAAACTAAAAATTAGAATTGTAAATTGAAAAGGAAAAATCTCTAGCAAGGCTAATTAATTCTTTACCACATAAGTGATATTAATCACGGATAGCGTCGGGCACATAATGGGCATTCCCAAAAATCCTAAAGCAAGATTAGCTCATGGAGGGACTGCTATTCACTACTATTTTTAAAAGTTATAGATTAAATCATTTATAATGAACAAATTATATTATACAAGTATAAACAATTTCCTTTTCTGTTTTAGTTTTTCATTTATATATAATATATTATATGTCGATTATAAGTTTTTCTGACACTTACATTTATTATACTATTCATTTGCAATTATCATACTGTTTTTTCCATTACAATAAAAGTTATATAAAATATTTGCCCATTTGGAGGTTGATGAGCCCATTTTAATGGTCATAATGATGGGCGCAAAACAATTTGCTATAACAACTTCAAAACAGCTATTTTGCTCCCTAATAAACCTAGCGTGATCACGATGGGGGTGAAACAGAATGGAAAGGGAGGTTCCATATGCTGCAGACAAATTACCAATTTATCCATTCTTGTGCAATTGAGCAACATAGAGAGGGTTCGTAGGAAACTGCCACATGGTGACTTGAATATGCAGGCTTGGACGGAAAGCCACTGTAGAGGAGGCTGGGGTCATTAATTGGAATAATTCGACAGTTTTTATTCCCCCGCTAGCAAATACACGACAGTTGTTAACTATGTTTACAAAACACTAACTATTTATTAATGTTGTAAATCATGGATTTTGAAAATAGTGGTTTGTTCAAATTCCACTAGCTGCAATAGCCACTATTTGACAACAATTTGTACTAAATAGCATGTATCACAAAACAATAACAATTTGTTAAAATTCAGCAACCCTATAGCGCAATAATAGCCGCTATTTGACGACACATTGTACTAAATAACATACCGTAGAACAATAGCAATTTGTTTGAATTCCGCTAAGCTATAGATGCTATTCTACAACACTATTGTTTATCGCTTAAAAATAGGTGCATGTGACTTTTGAGCATAGGACTGAAAGAGTAGGTTAAAATTTGGGGAAAGAAGTCTCAAGAACCTAGCTAACCACGTGGGGGATACATACATATGATTTCATGTTCCGGATGGGGGGTTCACATACCCCTACGGAATACTTTTCTCCCTCCCCATGCCCCCTGATGGGGATCCCTCCGGTACATTGCATATCACTCTAATGGCAGACACTCCATAGACATAAGTAATTTAGTTCAAATTTATTCATCTAATATTCAGTTTGAGTTTAACTGAATAACAATCACAAAGAAGCAGCTGCAACACAATAAACAAAGCTTTTAAACGAATACAAGAACAACAATGAGTAAAAGAAATCCAAACCCCAAGTGAAAAGCGAGCCATCCGAAGCTATCGCAGCTGTATGCTCGCGACCACAGGCAATATCCAACCAACGTGTATTGAGACCAGCTGGACATCCAAACAGCTGAGGCGGCAGCTGTTTAGGAATCCTCAACTCATCATCTTTCTCCCTTCTACCCGTCTGCCCAGATTGATTATACCCCCAAACATAAATAGCACTCTTCCTCGGAATATCCACCGCCACAGGTTTCGTAGTCCCCAAAATTGCATCAAGATCCATAGATTTTTTCCTTCAGAAGCAAGCATCAATATCCATACATTATTGACAATGAAATTGCATTAAGATTCAAAAAACACAAATTTGTTAGAATGCAAAGTACAGTAAAATTTCAAAATTGCAATCACTGATAATTAAAGCTGCACAAGAACACAAGAAACATTACAATGGCTAGGTCAAAACAGAGATAAACAAAACCCAATTTTGATCTCAATTTTCATGAAATTGAACGCAATGGTAAGGAAATGGATGTTAGTGAGAGAAAGTAGAGAGAGAAAGTAGAATACTTACCGGAGAGGGATGAGAATTGGGAATGAGTTTGAATGAATGAAAGGAAGAGTTTGGTTTAGGTAGCGGGAAATGCACGATGGTAGCGGTGAAGTCAGGAGCGGTGTTAAATGTCAAATGCTTTCTTGGTTTCCAAAGGCCACTCATTTGGAATATTTTATATAATTTCTAATTTTCAACATATTTATTTTTATTTTTGTTTTTTTATACGTGAGATTCATCTATAATATAAAAAGATTGATGATTGTCAAAAAATCAATTTTACCTTTTGACTTATGTGTTAATTAATCAGTTATGTTCTCTTTTTCAATGTTTTATTTCTTCATCTCATTTTTTTTAATAAATCTATTGTCTATATTCTCTTTCTCATTATTCATTCTCTTTTTCTCTCTAAGAGTCGTTTCTCCCTTCTTTTTCTTGTTTCTCTTCTTCTTTTTTTTTATCATTTATACTAAAAAAGATATTCTTTACTTTCTGATTCTCTTTCTCAACCCTCTTGTTTGTCTCTCACTTTTCCACGCTCTTTTTTTTTTAGATTATAGATAGATTTGGAGATAAGAAGAAAGAAATGAGAAACGTATATTTAAAGATAAGAAGAAGACAAGATCAGTAATACAAGTGAAAATATATACAAAAGTTAATAATCATGTCATCGTCTCTTTTTAACATCATTTTCGGGTTGTACATAGATATGGAAATGGAGATACAAGAAAGAAAAAATAAATATTAAAATAGCATCAAGAAGGTTAGTGATAACACTTTTTAGGTTTAAAGCTTTTGTTTTTTTATGTTGTTTTACTATGAGCTTTTTAATTGTAGCTTCATTCTTCTTTGAGGTTATTGCCTCTGATTTTTATTCTAATCTTTTTTTTCATGTTTTCATTAACTTTGGATGATTTTATTTTTTAAGGTACCAATACTCTCATCTTTCTGAGTTTAGACCAACTTTATTTGACTTTAGTTGTCTTTGTTTTTTCTATTTTTTCTTTCAAATGTGGATTTTCTTTTCCATCCCCTCTTTTTAACATCATTTCTCCTTCTTTTGTTTTGTTAGGTTGTACATAGATTTGAGAGGGGTGTTGCAGAATATTATTACAAATATTCTTGTGAATATTCTTATATCATATATATTATTTCTTTATTTAGTTATTTCTATTTTTAGGTAATCCTTTTATGGTTAGTATCTTGTAATCAATGTAGGATTCCTGTAATTATTTTTGGATTTTATCTCTACCTATTTTTAAGAGAGAGATCACTACACAAATTAATACAATTGAGAATTATTCTTCTCTCATTTGTTTAGACTATAATCATCACCAAGATTATCAATACTAGATTCATATGATCACTACTACAAAATACACCTTCTATAACACTAATTTTACTACGGTTAGGCTTCCACCGTGATAATATGTCTTAATTAACGCGTGATAATTTTCTTTTATTTATTTATAAAAATTTTGATATGATATAATCACGGATGAAACATAGGATCGTGGTTATATAATCACTCTCTCATGAGTTCGAATCTCAACAACTTCAAATATTGTATTTCTTTAACATTTAGTCGCGCCTTTGTGTTTTTTTCTTTGTAATATACTGATGTGTCAAATGTTTTATTTCTTTAACATTTAGTCATGCCTTTTTATTTTTATTTATTTTTAATTTTTAAAAAAAAATGAGATACCATCATAGTTTTTGAGAAAAACCGTTATGACATATTATTCATTTTGTTTTAAATATTTTAAATTGTAATACACTAGCGCTTCTTTATAAAATTTAATTTAGTAAGTAAGATATCATAACGGTTCGCATTTTTTACCATTGTGGTATCATTCATTCATTTTCATCAAGCTAACTAGCTTATCTCTTCAGTAGTCATTCTTTGCTGAGAAACGATACATCATTTCAACTCTAACATTCAGTGCTGAGAAACGACACACCATTTCAATCCTAACATTCATTGTTCATCATCATTGATTCATTGTTCATCATCATCGATTCATCGTTTTAAATTTGTTGTTCATTATCAACACGTAGTCATCATCGTCGTCATCGGTTTGTTTTCAACCCTAACACACTAACGCCAACATTAACATCATCATCATCACCGTCAAGGAGGAGTATAATAACAACATTATCTGTATCAATCTAAATCTTCACATTTACTTAGCCATCACATTTATGATACGTAAAACTTTTTTCCATGCACTACAATAAACTTCAGTTTCCATTGTTGTTAATGTTGTTGTTGTTGTTTTCTGGTTCTTGTTAAATATGTGTCATAAAACTTGATTAATCTGTTGTTGTTGTTGGATGTGTATGTGATAATGGATGAAAGAGTTTGTTGTTGTTACTGTTGAATGTGTATGTGATAATCGTTGAAAGAGTTTGTTGTTGTTGTTGTTGAATGTGTACATGATAATAGATGAAAGAGTTTGTTGTTGTTGTTGTTTTTGAAAATAGATATTGACTTCGTCGTATTCTTCATCTAGTGGCGAGAAAACTATGACAAGTGATACTCAAATCAAAAAGAAAAGATCACAAAGAGGTACCACTATGCTTACAAAAGTAACAAAAGTCCACAAATCTGGTATCAAATTGTCTATCACGTTTGATTCATATAATAGAGTAGTTGATGGTGAATACTCTTCTATTTTTAAGAGTTGTGTTGTGTTCCTTGGACGTATCAAAGTTAGTATATTGGTAAATGATTGGAAACAAGTGTCAGCTGAGGTCAAAGATAGCATATGGACAGATGTTAAGTTATTGGTTTTAATTTTCATCACTTCGATATGACTTTCTATAATTTCTAATACATTTATATTTGATTTAAATGTAGTTTACCTTTAAGTTTACGGATGGTGATAAGCACTTTAAAAAATGATTAACTTATGATGGTACGTGTTGGAAGGGAATTAAGTCACGGCTCACGTGTGACTACATTAGGAATCCTAGGATTGTTCTTAAGCGTCCATGTGTGAGGTATAGTTTTCTCTCGAAGAAGGCTTGGAAAATTTTTGCAAAGGATTGTCGTTCTGAGAAATTCCTGGTTAGTATTAGTCTTATTTATCTTGATAATTTGATGCTAATGATTTATAGATACTAATCATATTTTCACTATGTTTATAACAGACTAAAAGTCAAGCAGGAATTCAAAATAAAGCAAAAAATATTTACCCTCATAGATTATCTTGTGGAGGTTACACAAAGCTGGAGAAAAACATGATAGAGGAAAAAAAATGGGAGATGAAGACTCACTCCATTAGTCGTGATTGCAACTCATCTCCACTGTCAAGGCATGAGAAGTGAAAGAGGGTTTGACTAAGACCAAATGAAGAGTACATCTCAGATGATTCAAGAGCAACTGCTGAGAAAATTGTAAGTATGATGTGTTGTTCGTATGTTATGTGTTATTTAAATATTATGGTAATTACAATATTAATATTATCATGTATGTTATGTAGGATGTGTTGGTTGAGGAGGCATGTGGAACCTCATTTGTTCCAGAACCACGACATGATATACTAGTCGAGGCTATAGGAACAGATGAGCATGGTGGACGCGTTCGTGGTGTTAGAAAAGGCGTTGACCTTAGATTATTCTTTGGTCCAACCAAAAAAAGTGCCGACAATGCCAAATGAAAAGAGCATAGAGAAAAGCTTGCTCTTGTTGAGAAAGATTTAGAATAGCAGAGGAAGATGTTAGAAGTCAAGCGGGAAAGTCGGAAGAAAGACATAGACAAGTTAGAAGAGTTATATGCAGTAAGTGTTTTATCTGAAATGCTAGAGTTTTATATGAAATGTATGATCTATTTTGTTTAATATGAAAAGTTAGAAAAGATAGAAACGTATTTATCATGTATTGATATATTGTCACAAAGAATAAGTGGATCCTTACCACAACACACAGATGAAAATGATGATAATAATGTTGATGATCAAGTTCTCCAAACACATGGTGTACGTCATATTAGCACCAAAGGAAGCAATTATTCAGCCGCCCCCGCTAAAGAGGTTAATGAGTTATTGGATCCTTCTACAAATGAAATCACCATGTTATACGTTTTGGTTGCGGAAAGTGATGAAACGTATCCTCTTTCTCTATAGCATTGTTCATCAGTAGAGCTCTTCTACGTTTGTCCTAATGACATACGAGATTTTCTCTATGGTGGTAATTGGCTGGACGTAGGGATATTGCAAGTTTGGTGCACATAAGTATATATTTGAATATGCATGTCATTATAGTACATTATAATTTTTTGTATTTCCTTACTTATTTTTTGAATTTTGTTTAACCATTTAGGTACATTCATCGTGTATGTATAGAGTTAAATAAATCTATTATTTATGGCATCTTGGATCCGTTTAGTATTCCATGGTCAAATAATAAGCCAAAACATATTGATACCTACATTTTGGGACGATTAGGTTAAGGGGGGAAATAATGTTACTTCGCACCGTTTCTCAATGCGTAAGTAATTTTGAAATTGTGGTTTATCTTTTATAGTTAGTTTTGTTTTAGAAAATACTAATTATATATATGCTCGTGGTTATTCAGTGATCATTGGCAATTGACCATCATATCGCTTAAGACGAATACGATAACGACATTGTGTTCATTAGATCAACCACTAGAACTTAAAATGAAGCAAATTATTAATGGGTAAGTTTGTGTTTATATGAAATTTTTAGTAATACATATTTTATTTGACT